CGGTTGTACGTCAAAAGATAAAACAATGGAACAACTTGATACATGTCCAAAATTGGAATTGAATATCCAAGTCGGTGACGACGAATTTTACCAATATTGTTATTAACTCGTACAACAATGGAATCTCGATACTGGATGCTTTGAAAATGACGTTGAAAGAAGAGATGAATCACGTAGCCCTGAGGAATCACAGACTAGTTTTTACGTGGTCAAGATATACACCAATCACGGCAAAGGGAGAATACCACAACGGGCTCACACTGCGGATGCTGGATTCGATATCTACTATCCTGGAAATGAACCGACCGAAGTAGCGCCTCAACAAACTAAAATTATTGATTCTTACGTCGTCTTTGAAGTTCCAGAAGGAACCGTATGTCAATTGAAGAGCTGATCATCTCTCGCCAAACGGGAAATTGAAGTAAAAGCAGGAACGATCGATGCTGGATATGTGGAAAATATTGGAGTGATGTTAAAAAATGAATCCAACGAAAAGTATGAAGTGCAACCGGGAGAAAGGATTGCGCAGGCGATATTCCTAAGACTAGCTAATGTTGAAAGGTTATATTTAGTGAAAATACGTGAAGAATTGGGAGAAAGTAGTCGAACGACCAAAGGTTTTGGATCCACGGGGAAGATCGACCTCGTCAATGGATACTTCATGGAAAAAGACGAATGGAAACCAACGACAAAAAAAAAACTATGACGTCCTCAGAACAATCTCAATTCGACCAAGTTATTAACGAAAATCGAGACCTATTTGCAGCTGATATTTACGAATTGGGACGAACGAATCTCGTCGAACATCGAATTATGACTGAAACCGAGATCCCGATCAAACAAAGAGCATATCAGACAACGCCAGCGGACAAGGAATTCATCCGTGAAGAAATACAAAGAATGCTCAAGGCCCGAATCATCCGTCCTTCTAACAATCCATGAGCATCACCAGTCGTCGTTGTATCTAAAAAAAATGGTAAAAAGCGTTTTTGCGTAGACTATCGTAAATTAAACAACATAACAAAAAAGGATGCTTA